GCCCCGCGCCCCCGCAGCCCCCCTTTGTGTAGCCAGCGCCTGACGGCTGCGCGTCTGCGAGTCGGAAAGTTCCACGGGCCTCCCAGGCCCGAGGGGCAACCGCCTGCGGCTCGGGTCAGCGTCCACTCCGGGGGAGCCTCCCCACGGCCGCGGCTGGACCCCGCGCTGCAGGCCGCCGGGGTGCAGAGCTCTGCACCACCACCCCCCCACCCACCCCCGCCACCTGGACGCCCTAGACCACACTGATGCTGCTGTGGCCCACCCCGCACCCAGGGGCTTCTGCTGACAGCCAGCGGCTCCTCCCTAAGCGCCCTCCTGGGGCGCCCACTTGGCTGAGCCCCAAGTGTGTGTTTACTCTCCCAGCTGGTGACAACACTGGGGCGGGGCAGTGCTCTGGCTGGCTCTTGGGGGGCCGGGGTGGGAGGGGACATAGCCCCAGGGATAAGGTCTGGATGGCCAGAGCAGGACCACTGGGGCAGCTCCCGGCTGAGTCTAGGGCCCCGGTAAGGGAAGGGCCCGATGCTGCCTGGCTCTGGGGAGCCTGGGGTCGCCCCACAGCGCCCACAGGGGTGGGTGGGTGGGGAGGCGGGGGCCCCAGTTCCAAGGAGTGAGGGGAGCAGACCCGGACAGCAACCGCCACAGGGCGAGGTGCATGTGCGCGCAGAGCCCCCGCCTCACCCACGCAGAAGCCGCCGCTGGTGTTTCCGCCAGCAGGGACCAGTGCACGTTCCACGCCCATGTGGGCGCCCCAAGAAGGAAGTTGGGGTGGCGAGCAGGCGCCAGGGGGGCCTGTGCCTTTTGCCCTAAACGCATTTGAATCATGAAATTTTAGCGCGGTCCATTCTGAATGGCGGGTGCAGAAAACTGGTTTTTCCCCCCAAGAGAATTATGCATAGGCTGATGGGAGATTCGGTCACCGGTGGCGGTGGCCAGCGTTTTCCATCGAGGCCCAAAGACCGTCAACGCCTGGGTGTGGCCAGTCAAGATGGGAAGCCCCAGGCCGAACCCCAGCGCCACGCCCCTCCGGGCCGGGCTCGGTGGGCAGCACCTCAGTAGGCGCTCGGGGCTGCACTTTGCCCAGACATCAGCGCGCTGTGGCCAGTGGGGCACAAACATGGACATGCGCAGCTGTAGCAGCCGCAGCCAGTTGCGCCATGTACCCGCCAAGCCCCAGCCCGAGGCTTGTAACTGGGGGCCCCAGGAAAAAATGGGTGTGGGTTCCCTGCCCACTCAGAGGAGGGGGAGCTGAGCAGGGAGAGGAATCTGTGGGGGGGGGGCCTGTGGGGTGACTGCAGCAGCGTCTGTCTTGGTGTGGGCCCCGGGGGCCCCCCCACCCTGGACAGGCTCTGTCCGGATGGGCAGCAGGCAGGGCCGTGTGGGGGGGGGGGATGTGGAGGGCGGGTGTGGGCCCCGGGCGCCCCTCCAGCCCTGGACAGGCTCATGCTTTCTGCAGCGACAGCCTGAAGGGCGGCTCTGTGCCCGCGTGGCCGGCCTCTCTCTCGCCCCGCCCACCGAGGCTGAGTGGACACTCCTGTGCTGGCCTGTGGGTTCTTGCCTTTGCCCGCACGTCCCTTGGCAAAGTGGCGCCCTCGGAGGTGCGGGCATCACGGGTTTGTTTAGGGGTTTATTCGCATACCCAAGCTGGGCGCAGAACAGGGGGCGGGGTGCGGATGCCCCGGAGATGGTGGGGAGCAGGACGGGCGGGTCCCCTGAAATGCACGGCAGAGGGCCAGCGGGGAGAGGGGGGTCTGCTGTGCCCCCGGAACCCCCCCGACGGACGGACGCGCTCGCCCCTGCCCCAGGGCCCTCTGCTGCCCAGGGTGGGAGCCAGCTGGCCCAGCGGGTGGTGACCTGGACCGCGGCCAGCTGGGGGCACCGGACACGGGGGGTGGGGGGCAGCCAGACCGCCCCCACGCCGACCGTCCCTCCGAAGGCGACAGGCTCGTCTGCTCCCAGCCCGCCCCCACGTTGCCTGACACGGGCCGATGGGGCCGGCCTCCCAGCGGGGAGCAGGGCCAGCGGACGGCGCGGAGGGGCCCAGCCGGGGTGCTGGGGCGCCGCCAGGTGTGTGCCATCACGCTCCGCCACGCCCTACGTCACGCCCACGTCACACCCCGCGTCGCTCCCTATGTCACGCCCACGTCACTGCCACGTCAGCCTTCTGTTACACCTCACGTCAGGCTACATCACGCCTCACTTCACACTCTCGCCCCACAGTCGAGCTGTTTGCAGCGCCGCAGATGTACCAGGTGGAGGCCAGGGGCCGGCGCGGCCCACGCGGGCAGTGTCCCGGCACCCGTCAGCGTCCAGGCACCGGTCAGCGCTCCCTGGGCGCACGAAGCCGAGGACCAAGAGGGCAGAGCCGGCCCAAGGCCGGTGGGCAGCGGCTGGGCCAGCGCATCCTCGCACCCGCGGCGGAGAGCCGTGGGGTCACCAGCCCTGGCTGGCCCCGGGTGCTGCCCGGCGGCCGTGCCTGGTGGCCGGCCCAGCTGCGGCCCAACCTCTCCCACTGCTGCCCAGAGGGCTGCTGGGCCCCAGGTAGCGCGCACGTGACCCTCGGCGCTGCGTGGCCACTGCCAGCCAGCCGTCCCCAGGGGCCACCCTCACGCCCCCACTCACCGCGCACCACCCGCTGCCCCCGCCTCGCTCCCGGGAAGGTCCAGTCGCTGTGACCAGACAACACACCTGGGGATCCCTGGGGTCCCTTATTCCAGCCGTGCGCGACTGGACCCGCCCCCCTAGAGGCTGGTCCAGACGGGGCAGGGCCGCTGCCCGGAGTCAGCGCGGGGCGGGCGGAACCCACCGGTGCAGGCTGCTTTATTATTTATTTATGCTGTGGGAACTGGGCGCTGGCCAGAAGCACGGGGAGGACGCCCTGGAGGCAGAGTGGGGAGCAGAGCAGGCGGATCCCCTGAGACACGTGGCTCAGGGTCAGTGGGGGCCAGGCGGGGTCGGCTGCCCCTGGGGTCCCCCCCCTGGCTGGGGCGGGTCACAGAGCTGACCCTGCCAGAGTGTGGCTGATCCCGGTCGGTTTTTGTTTTTTTTTTACCTTTATGCTGGTTTTGGTGCCAGTGCCAATGGGCCCAGAGCAGCTTTGAAAGCGCTGGACACTCGCTCGGCCGACGCAGGCTGGAGCGTCTTAGGGCACTGCGAGACGACACCAGGGAGAGAACAAATCTGGAAGAAACCGACATTAGCTCCTTCCTTGGAGGCGCCGTCAGTCTCCAGCACGCTGTCCGGGGTGCTCCCGTCGGCTGTCTGCACCACAGCCTGTCTGGCAGACACGAGAAGGCCTTGAGCCAGCGGCGCACCGGAGTCTCTCCACGGCAGCTTGAGCCACCGTCTGGCGGGAGACGCCCAGGTGCTCTGTGGAGAAGGCACTTCCCGCCGGGTTTGACTTCAACAGAGAAAGCGCCATCCCTACTCCTTGCCGGCCAGACTTGGGCCACAGGGACCTTTCTGTGACACGCGACAAATCCACAAGCAAAGCGTGGCCTGGCTTCTGCTAGCTGCAGCTCTGAGGTGCGTCACCATGGACCCCGCAGTGGGGCGATGGCTGCCACACGCCGCCAAGCTCCTCGCCCATCACACCACTTCCCTCCGCTGCAGCCGCCATCCTCCCTCCCCCCATCCCACTCTCACCCCGTGGAGCAGACGGCCATGTGCCCGGGGAGGCCAGCCAAGGGCCGCAGACACCTGTGTTTCACCCAGGGCCGAAGAACACCTTCCCTTTCCCTCTCCAGTGGCGCCACCACCTTGTGCCTGCGAGGTTGCGCAGGCCCGGCCCACGGCCACGTCAGAGATCTTCAGGGAGGCCACGTCAGAGATCTTCGGGGAGAGTCCTGCAGCACCTGCTGACCCGGGGACCATCCGGCACCCCAGGCCTCCTCGTCCGGTCTGCACAGTGCTGTTTATGTTGCCCAGAGAGAAAATAATCTCTAACACCGTCGCAGCTTGACCACATGACTGTTTATTAACAAAGGGCCGGCGCCCTTTGTGCAGCATGGCTGTCGCTGCCGGGCCAGGAGCGCCACGGGGTGCGCGGTGCCTGCCTAAAGGTGGTTGACCAAGGGCGCCCCGCGCGAGGGCAGCTCCTGGTGCAGTTGCCGGAAGAGCATGGCGCAGCGGTTCCTCTCCTGGGCCCTCCCCAACGTGTGGTAGAGTCTGGCCTGGAAGTAAACCACGTCTCTGATCTGCTCTTTGCAGTCGACCTTGGCAAAGTAGCTCCTGGCTTCGCTGAGGTTCTCGATGGCGGCCTCCAGAGCTGCAGGGCGCGGGGGGGTGGGAGTGCACGTGTGAGCTCGGGAGGGGGTAAGGGGGGGGGCAGGTGCTCCCGGGCAGTCTACAGAGCTTCGTGCCGCTTGCACTGACATAGCATGGGCCGGTCTCCGGCCTGCCATGGGCTGAGCCGCACCGGCGCGAGCGGCGTTTCCGGGAGGCCCGTGAGCAGCCTGGCGCCGGTCAGGCCGCAATGACCCCCCGTCCGTCCATCAAGCGGGCCCCAGCCGCGGGGCGGCCTCACACGCCCCGCAGACACCTGGCTTCAAACACTGTTGCCAGCTGGGTGTCTCCCCTGAACCTTCTGGACGCTGCAAGTTCGGGGTCAGCCCCAAGTGTCGCGTGGGGACCCGGGGCGCCCCACCCCCACCCCACCGTCTGCCACCAGGACACTGGTGCCAAGCGGCAGCCGCAGAGGCTGCACGGGACGTGAGGGAGGCCGGGGCGCCCATCTCCCCTACCTGCCGCCTTCTTCGGGGGGTCGTAGGAAGCCGCTGAAGCCACCTGGCACTTGGCCACCAGGAATAGGGCCCGGCCTTTGTCCAGAACGGCCCCGTCAGCCAAGATGGGCTCGATGGCCATGTGCAGAAGACTCAGGGCCTGCTCTGGGACACCCAGGATGAGCTGGGGAGAGACCAGCGGCGTTGTGTATTCACATGGCGGCCGCGAGGCCCCCGCAACCCTGCCCCCCGGTGTCCCTGCTCATGTACACATGGAACAGACGTGCCCCAGACACTGCGGGCGCAAGCTCACCTGGGCAAAGGCCAGGTTGAGCACCGTCTCAGAGGCCAGGCGCTGCAGGCGGAACTCCTTGGCGAGGGCCAGGGCCTGCAGGAGCACGGGCAGCGCAGCGGCGGGCGCCGACGAGCGCCAGTGCAGCTCGGCCACGGCCAGTAAGACGCTGCGAGCGGGGGGGGGGGGCCATGTGAGGCCGGAGGCCGGCTGCCCCCCAGCCCCCCGCCCCTGGGCGTGTGGCCCCACCTGATGGCCATCTCCGTGTTCCGGCCCTGCTGGCAGTGAGCCAGCAGTCTCTGCAGCAGCCTGTGCGCCTCGGACGCCCGGTTCTGGGCCTGCAGCACCAGCGCCTTCCTGGCACAGAAACGACGCAGCGGCCTGGGCCCCGGCCCCCAGCAGCGCACGCCCACGTCCACATAGCGTGGCATGGGAGGGCGTCTGGATGCGGACACCCTGGCCTCGGCGCCACCTCCGCTCGGCGACCCTCCTGGGGTTTATCCACTCACACACGAGCTGGGGGCAGGCCGCGGGCAGCGGAGAGGCCACCACAGACAGGGCGCGGGACGGTCGGGTCCCGAGCCCACTGCCGGGGGCTGCGGAGCCCTCGGCCAGCAGGGAGCCCCGGGGGTGACGCCCGGGTCCGCCTCGCTCAGCTGCCTTCTTAGGGCTGTGAGCGGGGCACACGCGTCCCCGGCCTCATCGCCCCCTAGGAGCTGTGCGCCCGGCAGCCATGTCCAGCGCGTACCTGTAGACCCCGTCTGTGCTGCTCAGGGCCGTGATGCCCGTGACGAGCGCGTCGGCCACGTGGTGCCTGCCATCGTTCATTGCCCTGTCGAACTGTATCTTCTGGTCACACAGCATCCACAACTGGGGAGGGGCGGTTGGGTCAGACGCTGCGTCCACCCCTGCCGGCGGGCCGGAGACGTGCCTGGGCCCGGGCAAGTCCTTGCGGTAATTCTCACACCCTTTCCTGACACAAACTAGAAAGCAAGCTTCACGCACGCGAGAAAGTGCGAGGGTGAGGTGGCGGCACCCGGCTACCCGCCTCCGCGTGCCCGGCACCACCTCCCGGCCGGTGCCAGACACGCCAGGGGCGGGGAACGGCGTGCAGAGCAGCTCCCACCCCCGCGGCCCGCTGGGGCCAGACGCTGCTCTGGCCGACGCCCTCACGGCCACGGCTCATGGGCTCAGTGCGCTCCGTCCGCCCGCGCCCCGCCTGGGCAGAAGCGGCGGAAACACGGGCACGAGTACCGCCAGGCACCGGCACTGCTTACCTGGGCGTGCTGGCTGTGGGGCGGGAACCGGTCCCTCAGGTGCTGCAACACCTCCGAGGCCGCCGCGAAGCAGCCCTGCGGAGACGCAGGTGAGCGCGGGGCAGCCACCGGCCCAGCCCCAGGCACCGCCCGGCACTACCTGCTCGGCGTGCAGCTCAGCCAGGTGGCACAGCGCCACCGCGAAGGCCTCGGTGTTGTTCTGCCGTGCGGCCCCGCCCGCCGCCTCCAGGCTGCTCGTGCTCAGCAGCATCTGGGCCTGCTGCAGTGCCATGGTGCTGCCGGAGACACGGGTCAGGCGCCGCGCCCGGGGTAGGGCCGGGCGAGGGCGGGGGGGTGGGGGGGGAGTACCCGCCTGCCCCTCTGACTCCACCCGCAGGGAGCTGGGGACTCAGTGCGGCGAGGTGGGCGGGCGCCAGGAGAGAAACCTGCGGGCACTCCCCAGGCCGAGGGGCGCCCTCCCCGCACTGGCTTTGGGGCTGGGCCCGGGTGTCCAGGTGCCCCAACAGGGAGGGCCCCATCTCTGCACAGGGCCGGCTGGTCCCGCCCCGGCCGCTGAGGCAGCTTCCTGGCACTGGCGGGGCGGGGGCCCAACCGTCCCTCACGCCCAGCGTCCAGCCGGCGCCCCCACCTGCGGCCGTACAGCCTCCAGATAGCCGTCTTCTGCGCGACACTGATGTCGATGAGCTCGGACAGGCTGTGCTTCCAGTGCAGGAGGTCGGAGTCCTTGAGCGCGTCCATCAGCTTGTTCGCAGTCTTCCCGGCCAGCGCCCTCTGCTGCCCCAGGGACTGGATCCCCAGGGAGGCCAGGTACTGGGCAGAGACGCCGCGCTCAGCTGGCCACGCCTGCTCCTCGGGACGCGGCGCTGGGTGCGTTTCAGCCAGGCACAACGCAGGGCTGCCGGGCGGCGCCGGCCGATCCCGGGGGGGCCCTGGTGTCCTGCTGGGGGTGGGGGTGAGGGGGGACACAGCCCCAGGGCAGAGGCGAGCAGGCCCCGCTCTGGGACAGCGCCACACCAGCCTTCTCCAGGAGGTGGAGAATGCACAGCGGACGCCACACATAGCTGGGTTGGCCCTGCAGGGCTCAAGGACGGAAGCTCGGCTGGCCCAGGCAGCCTGCACCCACGCCGAGGCGGCCGCTGCTGCAAGGCACAGCCCGAGGGAGCCTAGAGGCTGCGGCCTCGCGCCCGGCCCGGGGCCTGTCTGCCCTGAACTTGGCCGAGCGAGCGCGTGGGGGCGACGGCGTCCGCAGCGGACTCCACAGGGGCCCGTCACACGGCCACGACGCCTGCCCGGCACTATGCAGGAGGAGGGGGCAGGAGAAGCCTGCAGGCGCTCACCGGCAACCCGAAGTGCACAGCCTTCTTCACGGAGTGCTCAAGCAGGACGCAGCGGTCAGGCCTCCTCTGGCCAAGCACGTACAGCCAGCTCTGCCGAGAGAAAAGCAGCAGCAGATGCCTCGACCGGGCCAATGGGGCAGCTCCCAGCTAGTCTGTCGCGACGCCCATCGGTGTGGGGCCGGCGAACCCAGAGTTCCCACCCCCCGGGGCACCGGGGGCACAGCCTGGTCCCTGCAGGACCCCCAGGCAGCGGGCACCTCACCAGGCAGTGCTGGAGACACACGTGGTCGTTGGACTCCTGGGCGATCCTGATGGCCTCCTGCAGGGCGAGCTCCGCCTGCTGGCTGGAGACACCGGGGTCACGTGGGCACAGCCTGTCTCCAGCCAAAGCCACCGGGCAGAGCCCGCTTCACTGCCAGCGGCAGTGCCAGGCAGGCAGGCGGGGCTTCCTGGCCGCGCACTGCCCGAGTCACAGGCTCTCACCGAGCGCCCGGCTCCCACACTGCTGGTGAAGCCCGGCACAAGCCCACCCGCCCCCGAGGCTCCCGCACCTCTCCCGGCGCACGCACAGATGCCTCTGGGCCTTCAGGGCAGCCATGCGCCCCACTATATTTCCTCCCAGAGCCCCTTTGGGGAGCTCCGTCAACAGCCGTTGTTCTTAGAAGTGGAGCAAGGAAGCAGCCACCGAGCGTGAAGCTGGGTGCTGGCGCAGGGCAGGGTGCCACCCGGGAATCCTCCCCTCAGGGCAGGCGGCTCCGGGAGCCCCTGACAAGTCCCTGTCCTCCCCGGGTTCAGCTTCAGGGGCCGCCCGGGACCGGGGCTCAGCGCCACCACCACTCAGGCCTGAGCAGAAGCTGGCCAGGAGCGACCAGGATGCAGCAGCCTCCTGTCCGCCCTCCGCGGGGGATGGCGGTGGACCCGCCAGTCCCCCCCCGCCAGGCGCCCTCACCCACGCCCTGGCCTGCACCCAGCTCTCTCGGGCATGAGCACGTGGCCAGGACACGCCGCCTGCCGCCCGCAGCCCTTACTAGTGCCCGAAGCGGCAGTGCAGTGCGGCCAGGTTGAGGGCGGCGTAGCGCAGGCTGCGGCCGCAGCCCTCCTCCCCGCTGCCCTTGCTCTCGGCCCCCGTGAGGATCAGGCGGTCGAAGTAGTGCAGGAGGCTGTGTGTGGAGCTGAACACGTCCTGGACGCGGAGGCTGTTCAGGTAGCTGAGGTAGTGCTGGGGAGGGGAAAAGGGGGGGGGCGCAGTCAGATGCGCGTGGGGTGCCCTGGCCCACCCCCATCCACCCCCAGCCCCATGACGACCACAGGGTCCGCGCCGGCATGGCCCAGGGTGCCCGGCCCGGGCACTGGTAAGGAATGCGCAGGGCAGCAGTAGATGTCAGAGCCCGGACACTGTGGACTCAGCTTCCCCAGCGTCTAAGCTAAACCGTGGCGTTCTCGGCCTTCCAGACAGCCGGCATGGGGAAGCTGACCACGCTGAGCATCCTCCGGGGAGACAGCCCCTGCCGGCAGGCCCGGGACTCAGGGCCCACACAGGCCGGCTTTCTCCACATGGCCAAGACAAATGCCAAGCCCAGGTGAGCTCAAGAAACAAAGTTTTCAGGGTCAAACCCAGAAGGGGGGATTCCTCGGGCTCTGAGAGAACCCACAAAGGAGGCTGATGGACTAGGCTGTCTGGCCCCGAGCCTCTTCCAGTGTCAGCCCGTCGGGCCCCGAGCCTCTTCCAGTGTCAGCCCGTCGACATCCTCTCCGGGGCCTCTGGGCATCAGAGATGGGCGGGAGGGAGCAACCGCGTGAGGGAGGGGCTGGCCGGGCGGGCGGGCGGGGAGCAGAGCTCGGCCCAGGCGCACGCTCAGCAAGGCGTGAGCCGCTTCTCCTGACACGGCCGGGGGCCAGGCAGACTCACCGCCTCTGCAAAGTCAGGGTTGAACTTCAACAGCCCATTCAGCTCCTTCTGCAGAGCGGCTGGCGTCAGGGCCTTGGTCTCGTCGTTCTTCAGCAGCGAAGCCTGGGGGGGGAGGCGGCGCCGCTCAGACGGGCACAGGGCCCCCAGTGCCCTCCCCTGCACACAGCGGGCTCGTGCCCGCCCCGCACGTCCTTGCGGCCGGGACACCCCCGTCGCAGGTCCAGATAGCACCCCCCGCGCCTGCCACCAGTCACCCCATCCTGGTTGCCCCCCGGTGACAGCCGCAGCAGTCTCGGAGACAAACCCTTTCTGGTACTCCACCAGGGGGCCCCGCGGAAAAGGGGGCGGTTCGCCAGGGGCTCAGGGCACGGCCACGGCGGCGGCTGCAGGGAGGCCGCGGCACTACACGCTGTGCCCAGCTCGCAGGGGTGAACTGGCACCCAGCGGGGCCACGGCTGCTGCTACCTTGCTGGCGAGCCACGGGGAGTGCGGGAAGGGCCGCCAGAGCCCAGGGCGACCGTGGGGCGGCAGCCCAGACCAGCAACTGGACGGCGCAGGGCCGTGTACGAAGCTGTGAGTCACGGAACCAACCTACCTGCTGAGAAAGAAAAAACTCCGCCTGCTTTTGGGACAGAGGCCTGCTACAGGAAGCCTCTTCTTCCCTGGAAAAGAGACGGAGGTCAGCAGGCTACGCCGCGGCCACCGCCGCCCTGCGTCCGGCGCCCTACACTCGCCAAGCTGGGCGGAGCCCCCGGCCGACCAACGCGCTGCTGCTGCTGCTGCGAGTTCGCAGCCACCAGCCTCAGCCCCGGGGCCAGATGCCCGCGGAGTCCCCGGGGCGCCCCGTGAGCAGAAGGGCGGGGGCGGGCCCCGCCCGAGGGGCCGCAGGGCCAGAGGCGGCACCTCGCTGACACATCCAGGTCTTCCTTCTCCAGCCCCCGGCCTGGCTCCTCGCGAGCGGCTGACCCCATGGCCGCATCGCACGCTGCCGTCTTCTCGCCGCTCTGGAAGTAGCGCTGCAGCGCGGTGTAGAGCTTGAAGGCCTGGCTGAAGGACAGCTTGCTGTAGGCGAGGACCATGTGGCGCAGGAACAGGCCTGCAGGTGACAGACGGGAGGCGGTGTCAGGCGCCGGCGCAGAACCCGGCTGGAAGGGCCTCGGCACACAGCCGGGCCGTCCCCCCACTTCCCCGTGCCCCGACCTCCCACCCAGGCCTCATTCTCTCTGTAAGTGGCCTGGCCCGGAGAGCGACCAGTAACTGCCATCCGTGCACAGAAAAACTTCCACGCAGATGAGCCAGGGGCGGGAAGTGGCCTTAAGTCTAACAGAAAGCTAGGAAGTTGGGGGTGCCCCCCACAAACTGTGCCACGAGCCTATAACAAGGGATCCAGGGCTGTGGGCAGCGGGGAGACCGAGCAGCCCAGGCCATGGCCAGCCCTGACCACGGTGGACAACGCAGAGCCGTTGCCCCCAGCGCCACCCGAGCGTGTGTCAGCCGCACGACGCGTCAGGCGCCCACCGCCTCCAGCCCTGGCAGCGCTGCGCCGACACAAGCGAGTCCGCCAGTCTCCCCCAGGCCGCTCACCCACCACGCTCGTTTTGTGGACCTCGGGCTCCGTTCCAGAAAAGGAGTCCGACAGGTCGTCAAAGAACTGCTCCATGTCCTTCAACTCGCCTTCGGCCATCAGCTTGATTCTGAGTGAGAAGTTCGGTGCATGTGTGGGGAAGGCCCGACAGCCCCCCTTCCACGCACTCCCGCGGCTCACCGTCCACACGTACACAGCGGGCACCCAGAGGCCGCTCCCGGGGCCTCAGAAGCAGGCCTGGCCACCCTCTGTCCCCAACCCTCAGAGTGAGCCATGAGGGCGGACGCTCAGCCGCTCCGGAGAGCCAGCTTCGCGCACAGCCTAAACATGCGGCACGTTTGGGAAGTAAAGTCCTCGGAAAGCAGGACGAAGGGTGACGCTGCCCGACCCCCAACGGTGACGGCGCCCGACCCGGAGAACCACGCTCTTTCCGAATGCTCATCTACTCTGACGTCTTCCCACAAGTGGGGATGGTAGTTACCTGATCTGGACGGAACTTGCCAGCTGAGGACAAGATTCTTCAATTAACTTGTACAGTTTGGACAGTGTGATATCTGGGCCCTGGGCAGAGACAGAGGGCCTTCAGCAACTGCGCAGGCGTCTCAGCTGTCAAAGACACGGCCACAGGCCCCAGAGCGCAGGTGACGCCCAGACTACCGCGCTGCCTCCCCGCTGCCCCCCCAGCAGTGTATTTCAGTGGACCGGGCTCTTCTACTCCCCACTCTGTCTTGGGGGAGTCCTCTCACCCCCCCACCTCTGGCCTGCGCCCCAGTTCTTGCATGGGCGTACGCAAATAAACTTAAAACAATGAGTTGACTGTGTTCCTTCTCCTGCTGTGGAACACAATACAGCCATTAAGCAGACATTCGCTTACTCCCATCAGCTGAAAGCAGCACACATGTGGCACAATCACATGGGAAGGAGGCACGCACACATTTATATGCTTCTACCTGTTCACACACACACCTGAGCGCAGCACAAGGTCAGACAGATCCATGCTGGAGGGGAAGAAAGGTCTACCTGAGCTGTTACTCAACACCCAACTGCACAGTGAACACTGCCTGGCCCAGCTCTGAGAAGGAGCAGGCTTGCAAGGCCAAAGAGCCGTCAAGGTGGACCACCTGGAATCTCTATGATCAGTCTCTGTACACCAGACAAATATTAAAAACTAATTTTACAAGCCAAAGAGGTGAAGGAATTGAGGGGGGTCAGATTCTACTGGACAGGTTTTATAAACACGTGCAGTGAAAAGAGCACGGTGGCTGGTCAGGTGGAGGAGCAGAAAGGGCTCAGGAGACCGGAAGAGCCCAGCAGCGCAAGGCAGAGGGGCCAAGCAGGGGCTCAGTCACGCCTGTTTCTTGACCTTCACCAGGATTTCAGTGCTGTGACTTTCCCAGGAGTAGTGGGGGATGCACCATGGAGAGGACTGTAACGGAGGCTGCGTGGCCGAACAATGAATCACAAGCTCGAGCTTTGTCCTCTCACTGAACCACCTAACCCGGGGTCCGCACTGCGCCCCGCAAGCGATGGCATGTTTTACTGTCCTGCGGAAACTGCAGAAACGCAGCTCGGGAAGTAACATCCAGGGCCACCCCCGGCCGCCCCAGCCTCCCTGCCTGAGCGGAGCTCGCCCTCATCCCAGGAGCTCTACCCACGAGCTGCGCACGCTGTGGGCAGCAAGGACCAAAATGCAATGGCAAAGGAGAGCTCAGTCGTGCAGTCGCCGACTCGAGAGATGGAGCCAAAAGCCAGGCAGGGAGGAGGACGGACTCTGCGAGCGCTGACCACCCTCCCGCGGCCGGTGCCCAGAGGGCTGCCGTTGCAAGGCAGCTCGGCCAGCAGGCACGGGCAGCGGGCGGGAGCGGCTGGGCACAGAAGCGCCTGCACGGCCCGAGCACACGACGGCGGGGCCAGC